GTGAAACCAAGTCTACCCGTGGTCGTGGTCGGGGCCGGGGCATTAAGCCATATAATCCGGGTATGACTTCATCTGACGATGCTGTAAGACTTCCTGTCGAGCCCGGGATTCTGCCCCAGACTTCGAGTCTAGGTGAGTTTTTCCCATGAATCTTACATTTTCCGTTTGTGAATAGGAAATTTGCATTATGTATATATACTGTATATTGCATTGTCATGCTAAAAATGAAGACAACTGCTTCGCGCTATTTCTCGTTAGTGCCTCTTCTGAAAATTAATATGTTCGCCGTATTGTAATCAATGAAATTTTCGTTTTTGATGCCTTAATTTTATATGCGTTCCATGTCTTTTGCCGATGTTCAAAGCGGATACGAGGATATTTTCGAAAATTCGGAGACTTCCCCAAAAATTCTGAAGCTGACACTTGAAACTTTCGGCGATTTATATTCGTTTGAAAGCGTCACTCAGTTTTATCTAATCTATGATCAACTCTACCCTTTTATTGTACTTTGAAAAATATTCAGACATGAATATCGTCTACTTCATGTCAGTAATCAATTTTAATTTTTGAGGATTGAATCTAAAAACAAGAATTCTAGCGGATTTAATGCTGGGGCTAAAAATATCATTCGTGGAAGATTTTGAGGTTTTTATTTGAAAAATATTTTTCGTGATTATTTCATCGTGTTAATTACCGGTGATCGTTCAAAAACGACGTCACCAGGATTGTCCTTGCGTTCAAGTGCGCTCGAATGCGGGAATCCTTCCCCAGATGATCAAGCGTCCACTTCGACCAGTGACGACATGGCACTTGCTTCAGAGATTTCAAAAATAAATCTCAATCCCTCATTGCCGACGGAAAATTGCCGTGATGAAAATGCGGAACAAAAGGTGAGAATCGAAATAAAAACCGAACCGATGAAATGCATTTTGTCTTCCAGGGCGTGACATTATGTGATGCAATACAGTACAANCCCCCCCCCCCCCACCAAAAATGCTCGTTTCTCTTAATCAAAATCTTTCTAGCTCGATTTTTTTTGCCAATTTAGTCCTTTATTGAAGTTCAACTTGAAGAAGGTTAGGTTCAAGTTTTCATTTTTTATTTTAGATGAATGAACATCGAATCGGAACGAAGCACGGGACGTCGGGCGTTGTGGTCTCCTTGAGGGCCAATTACATTAAATTGGAGGAGACGAAGCTTCAGAGTCTTGTGGAATATCGCTTGGATATCGTCCCACCCGTGGACTCTCGCGCGATGCGTATGAAGATCTGGCGCGGTGTTCGTGGAAGCCTGGGTCCTAATTACAAGCTCTACGATGGCGGCAACAAAGTCATCACGCTGACCGAGTTGGAATTGAATTCTGATGCGAAACGGGAATTACATGCCACGGTGAACGAAACAATTCATAAGGTCGTCATCAAGCAAACGCGGGTCATTCCGAAGGGTTCCATCGACGCTTTGGCGGTGAGTTTAAACCGTTTTCCCCATATTATTATTTTTTAATTCTCGAGAGATTGATATTTCAAGAGCTTGGTCCTGATTATGTAGGTGGACTCTCTCTACAACGAAATTCAACGGAGAATAAAAAATTCGTTGTGGAGATCTTGTCTCCTCAAAAAATTGCAGAAGTTTAATAAATTCTCATTTTCATGCAGCTGGAATTTTTAATTTGAAGGAAAAGTCAAATTTGGAGAAAATTTGAATGTTTTTTTTATATTTATTTATCCAATTTTAATATTTCTTTCTTCTTCGAATTGAGCTGCGTCCAATTATTTCCAGTATAAAATCATTTTTAAATAGTGTTTTTTTTTCTTTCTCTGTATTTTCCTGTTTGTTTCCTTTATTTTACGTTACCTTTGTTTCAATTTTCACGGGAACCAATAAAATGATACCCCGTAGGTTACGACGTGAAGTAATGTCGGACAAAAACGTATTGAAGCAACAAACCAGCCCCTGGAATGTACCGTGGGGCTCCGAAATGCGGACTTAATTGGTGCTTGGACCTTGTTCCTGCGTCGGAGCATCCTCATGTCAGACCATGTTTTCCCATGGACTTCAAAGGGAACTTATTTAAATTGGTTCCAGTCAAAAATTAAAAGTAGAAGAAAACCCCACAAAATCGGACTTCTGGCATCAAAAGAAGCTCGAAAAGCAAAGAGCAAGAATAAGTCATGCTGTAATGTGATCAGATGTTGGGGAAAGCTCCAAAACCGGATAAAATCAGCCTGTTTTAATTATAAATTCTATTACATTTATTATAGAGTTTATCTCTAATTTTTTCGAATGGGAAGTTGCTCAATTGTTTCAAGAGATATCAAGATTTAGAAGAAATGGAATGTTTCCCCTTTTTATAGAAATGTGTCTGTTTCACACAGACATTTTCCGGATGTCGGGCAGATTATTTAATCTTTACGTGTCCCTAAGTCGAATCGTCCGTATGTCGGGGTCCCTCTGTATTTGGTCAATTGCCGAAGACCCCACTGTGGTCATAAAGTGGCCCAAAATGATTTTTTGATGAACATTTCCAGATTTACGGAGTGCTGCTGAAACGTAGTATGCAGTCGGTGAATTTGCAGCCAGTCGGAAGCGCCAAAGACAACCAGTTCATTGACAAGTCGCGTCTCCGGGCATTTGAGCAGCACATGACGGAAATGGCACCCGGGTTCATCAACGTTGTGCAACAGAGAGAAGACGCACTCATGCTCAGAATCTTCCCATTCCACAAATTCTTCCGCACCGACACCTGTTACGATCAAATGGTCCGCATTAAAGGCACGTTGAAGGACGAAGAAGAACACCATTTTGAGCAACGAGTGAGAACCCTGTTGTGTGGCAATGTCGTCATGACGCGTTACAATCACAAGACGTATCGTGTCGACGATGTGGATTTCACGAAAAACCCGACTAGTGTGTGGAACGAGGAAACCCGGGAGACGTACGTGGGATATTACAAGAGGAAGTACGACTTGGAGATCAAGAACTTGACGCAGCCTCTTTTAATTTCTCGGGCGAAAGTGAGTTTTGAAATGTAAAAACAAATTTTTTTGGGGGAAGTTTATTGAATACGTGAAGGTTTTTTTTTATCCTGTTCTTGGATGACATGAACAAACCCGTATGGTTTTTCTTACCCTCGAATCGCGTCATCAAAGGCTTTCTTGAACAAAAATTTCTCAGGCGGACCTTATTCCAAGAATCTGCAACAAAATCAAACCATATCCATTTTCACTTTGCTCCTCGTGCTCATTTTTGTAGCTGACTTGACATGAATAATTTATTGTGAGAGTTGGGGAATTTTATTGAGAAGTTACTGTATTATGAACCGTGTCGTTGACTCCTCAGACTGCCATGAAAATGAGAATTTCAGTCTCAGAAATGTTGGGTACCCTTAATTTTCGAATAATGTTAAAAATTACTGCGTTGCCACAAATGATCCATTGAATGAATGTACTGGCGATATTGATGAAAATTCCCTCCTATTGCGCGAGTCCTGATCGTGCCAATTGAATTTTCAAGGCCCGAGATCGACGCAGAGGAGTCGAATTTTTGCGCTTGATACCCGAGGTTTGCAACATGACAGGGATAAGCGAGCAGATGAAGAAGGACTTCCGAACGATGCATGACGTGTCGTCCACTTTGAAGCGAAATCCTGAACAAATGCGGAAAGAAGTGAGGGATCTTTTGGAAAAGCTGCGGGAAAATCCGAGTGTTCAAGAAGATTTCAAGACGTTCAATGTGAGTTTTTTTTTTTTTTTTTTTCGGACTTGAAGGGCTGAGATGATGAATAAGATCTTTCATTCCTATGCAGCTGAAAATTGATGCAGATTTGATGAAACTAGAAGGGAGAAAATTGGACGCACATCCAGTTGTTGGTGCTGAAAGCAGAGTTGTTGTGCAGAGAAATGGGGATTGGGGAGTTGGATTGCGGGATTCCAAACTGT